TGGGGTAGGCAAGGTAAATCTTAATGGGCTTAGGTCTCAGTTGGCTCAACCACATCCTGGCAGTCCGCTGCATAGGGATGGTGACTCCTCTACCACCACGAGTCCCCTTTCTTCCTCATCTCCCTTAAATATTGCTGCAATTTGTGAATTTCAGTGCCCTTTTTCTTGAGGGACATAGATTGCTTGAGGGAGGGGGAGGGAGCGGTCCCACAGCCCTACCCTTTGCTTTGCACAGTGTACATTCCATAGTGATTAGACAGGACTGGGGGTCACCAGGAAGAAGACTAGGGGTGGGGCCTGGGGTAGAAAGTGAAAAGGAGAAAGATGATGAGGTAGAACACTTTCAACTACATTTCCTCCAGCCATCCCTCAGGACATCTGACCTGATCCCATCTCATGGCCACCTCTCTAGCTCCTTGACTTTCAGGAGACCACTGGAATAGGTGTTTATGATGTCAGTCCTGCATCTATATTTTCCCAACACCTTCTTGTTGGCATGCTTGATGTGCTTTTGTTGTTTTCTTCACAATTGAGGTGACTACAACCCATATCAAAGAGGCAGGATGGACAAACTTCTTACTCTTGTCTATTTGCCATGGTTCCTGGCTGTACAAACCACTTGGAAAAATTTCAAAAGGACTATGTACCAGCCGTAGGGAAAGAGGGAAATGGAATGGTCTTTGAGACATTCTGCATTGGGAATTCGAGTCTGGGCTTTAGTCCCAGCTCTACCATCTACAAGCTATTGACTTTGAATGTCAGTAATGTCAAAAGCAATTGCCAGTATTGAACAACTTCTTTGTGTCAGCATGGAGCAAGATGACTTATATACATTATCTGATGCCTCTAAGTTTCAATTTTCTGAGAGTATTATGTTCAGAAATTACCTCACAGGTCTATCACGAGAACCACATGAAAAAACCAAGTTAGAAAAGGATTTCTAAACTAGAAAGTCTTCTATAAATATGTTATAATGACTTAAGAGTTAAAATTTTTCCTTTCAGATTTAAGTTGAAAAGTTTCAACCTAAATGAAATTTAAAAGCTTCTACTTTCTTCCACTGTAGACATGTGAATGGTCCAGTCAAGTCTGTCCTTATAAGAAAGGTTGGAATTGGTATGATTTGCTATATGGGTAGATGATAGAGGCAAAATCTTGATGCAATTTACACAGTAGAAAAGAAACCCTGCAGTAGAGTAGTAAGAAAAATTATTTAAAGTTTTTTCCACTTTTTTCAATATTTCTTGTTTAATTCAATACCTTGTCTTAATTCACTCTTTGGTCTGTGTAAAACATAGGTCTACTGATCTCATTTTTGCCTTAACTGACCAGCCAATCCTATAAAACAAACCTTTCTTTTTTCCCATTCAATCAAGAATTGGTTAAACTGTTCATTTGTTGCTTTCACATTTTCCATATTTAGCCCAAGATTTCATGAAGTAACAAATAATTATAAGAATATTTAGCGAGCACTTAGGTGTGCCAGATCCTATGCTTTATTTTTCACAGCACCTTTATTAAAAAAAATCCTCTTATTACTCCCACTTCATAAATAATGCAACTATGGCTCAGAAAGCTAAATAACTTGTCCAGTGTTAAATTGCCAGTAGTGGTAGAGTGGGATTCAAACCCTAGTGAAACAACCCACTTTGGTTCCAATTAACCCAATTAACTAGCCATTTCCAGCAAATGTAGTTAAACATTTGAATTACCTGGGATGATCTCATTATATAATTTTGGTCTCCTCGGACATAGGTCAAATTACTTTGAGATACACCATCCAAGTGTTTAAAGTTATTTTAATGGTAAGTAGGTTAAACAAATTTGAAATGCAAGACTTGTTTTTCCAGGCCATAGTTCCTTTGTAAATAATTCATTATTCATTCAGCAGCTATGTTCAGTGCTACCAGTCAGGGCATTGTGGGAGATAGAAATACAGAGCACAGTCTACTGAGAGAGAAGCGTCATGTTTGAAGGGTGTAAACAGACTGCTGTTGGCATTTAAAAAAGGGAAAGATGTATCCTATCGGGGATGGATCAGAAAAGACTTCATGAAGTCCCTCCACCCAAAATGTTCTTTCCCCCAGACACCCGATGGCTCATTTCCTCATCTCTTCCAGGTTATGGCCCAAATGTTACCTACTTATCAGGCTTTCTCTGACAACCCCACTTAAAACACTTACAGCACTTACCACCCATTGGCATATTACGTGCTTATTTATTGGTTCCCTGTCTCCCTAAATTAAAATGCAAGCTGTACAAGGGCAGGGCCTTTTGGCTCTTTTGACCACTGATGTAAATCTCATCTAAGAACGATGCCTAATACAAAGTAGGGAAACACTATATATTTGTTCAACAGATGGAGAAAATAAGACTTAAACTTGGCCTGAATAATGGATAGCATTTAGCTGGGCATTGTTGGAAGGAAGAATTCCAGGTGAAGGAAATGATTTAAGCAAAGAATGGAGGCAGCAAATTACAGTCTGTTTGAAGAGCTGTGTGCAGGTCAATTTGGTGAAAATACAGAAATGCAGTGGGACATAGTCTGGAGGGATCTATGTTATGTAGACCTGAGGGATTGACATAATTTCACAGGCAGATGGAGCCCTTGAGATTAGGAGTCTTGAAATCTCCTTATTTAATATTTAGTAATTAAACAACCATTCCAGGTAATTCAAATGTAGGTAGGGGTAGACCCAAGGTGTGTGGATCCTGAAGCTAATATGATTTTAGACCCTGGTGAAACAGCCCACTTTGATTCAATTAACTAGCCATTTTAGCAAATGTAGTTTGACATTTGAAAAAAAGAACATAAAGAAGAAAAAAATACATAGAAGAAGATGAATGCTAAAGTAGAAATGACCTCTGGCTTTGCCCCTTTTATGTAACAATGCTGAGTTAGAGCAGTGGGTGGTAGGAGTCTTCCCAGCAGCCCTTCCTTCTCCCGGTAGCCACCAATAACCTAATTACACATGGAAGTGATTACAAGCTACATAAATATATTCTGCCAGACCTAACGTCCCTTAACTAAATCTCAGAAGTGCCTGTAGCCACTCGGATGCTGCTGAACGAGAAGAGATGGATGATGGCAGTGAAGATGGAGACCCAGACTGTGACTGACAAATTGTGGCTGAAATATCAGTGATCATGCGAACTCATTTCTAGGACCTTGGAAGAAGACAGAACAAATGAGGGACCCTGAAGTTTTATTGGCTTCATGGTTAAGCTGCCTCTGGAACTCTGTTAAAGGGAATACAATGAATTGGAGGGAAGATTAGGGGAGTTCTGGATATAGGTGATAAGGTGACGGTTGGCATGAGAGTTGGGAGAGGCGCATGTGAGGCAGGATACAAAGACACCATGGCCATTGAACCAAAGGAAAGAAAGGTCAAAGGTGTCTGAAGTCTTACCTCAGGATACTAGGTAGTATCTGGGAGTGAACTGTTCTTAAAGCTGAGAATTTCTCCGTACATTAAATGCTCTTTTGTTTTAGGTTTGAATACCCTACATTTATTAGTTTACCAATGCTCAAATGATCACATCTTTGGCCAGTGAGAGTGTCTTTGGGGTGGCTTCCAGGTCTTCTGACATGACCTTTGTATTTTTTGGTAGCTTCCCTTCTTTCTGGTTAGAAGGGATGTTCTAGGCTTATGTACTTGCTGTGCCCTACCTGGAACCTACCATTTCTCCAATAAGTACCAGGTTCTTTTAGCGAGAAACTGTGTTTTCAAGCCATATCTGGTGCTAGGGATGCTCAGGCCACTGGCTCAATCTTTGTTTCTAGGCCTTGTCGGTGGACAGAATCAAAAAAGGTATATGTGTATGTATATATGTGCAGGTCAGTTTGGTTAAAATACAGAAATGCAGTGTATATATACACACACATATTTTGCATCTTATGCTCATTAGATTTCATTAGAAGAAACTGCTCACTGTTTTAAATTTGCTCTATCATCCTTTAAGCAATGAAAGCAGTAAGCTTTTAAATGGGGTATTTGTGACATGAATTAGTGCAGCTTCCCCAGTCAACTTATTTATAAAGAGAAATAAACTTAAATACCAGGAGAATTTGGTTGACAAATTAGTAGTTCAGTAAGTGGAAACTCAGCTTTAGCATTTTTGAGCTGTTAGGCTTTAGAATATGAAATGACCATGCTGCATTAGAATGACCTTTTTGAAGTTTGCAATATTTTTATTAGAGAAAGCACTGAATAGCCAGTAATGTTGGTTCTAATTCCACAGCCACAAACAATGACAACTATAGTTTATTTATGATGACATTGTGGCATATAAAGAAAATTTCTCATGCTTTAATAATTTACTATAAAATTGAAAATATAATTATACGGAACAGAAAATTAAAAAAAATCCTATTCAGTTGTGAAAATCCTTCAGTTGACTTTGCTTTTGAGCAAGAGTATACTTTAAAAACAAACAACTAAGTTTGGGTTATATAGAACTTACAATCTAAAAGTCTCCTTCATCCCCAGCATAAACTGTAGATATAAATGCCTTACTTTGGTGATTCACCCTCAAATAGATTTTGTTTACTTATATTTGAAATGCCTCACTTTTAATTTAACAGTATTACTCAAAACTGTTAAATATCTAATAAAGAGGTTTAGTGAAAACACTTTTCATGTCATGGGTAAATTTTGGTAAAAAAAAAAAAAACCCACAAAAAACTCAAAATGGTCATAGGCATTGCCTTTTACAAGAGAAGCAAAAGAAAAAAAAATTCAGCTTTCAGTGCTGTAGAACTAATGATTTCTACTCTGGGTATGAAACAGGAAAATAGATTTCCTCTTTTATGCCAATTCCAATAAATTGAGAGCGGCTTCTGGAGCACTGTGTTGGGATGGATTCTGAGACCGCTTCCGGTCTCTGTGGGAAGGAAGCTGTGATCAATAAGGAATGCGGAGTCACAGCATGTGTGCGATGCATTTGGTATCCACGATAAAACAGCATTTTAAAAAACCCAGTAAACATCACAGTCTTACCAGATAAGCCACCCACGTCCATCTTCTTCAGGTTCTTTGCCTCCAGAATGACAACAGTCAGCTTGCCGGCAGTCGGTACGTAGCGAAGGGAGAAGCAAATATCACCCAATTTCTCTTGCTGTGAAGACCAGTAAGAGACTATAAGTAACTTTCTGAATAAAGGTGAATATAGTTTGTACACATACATTGCAAATTCCTCAGGAAGAGGATTAGGACAATTAGAATGTGAAAGCTCTTAGGTTCATTGGCGTTTACCCAGTGGTCTTTCATTGACTGAGGTATGAAGAGTGATTGTAACCCATTTCGGTTTTAAATTGCTCATCTATACTTTGTCATTAATCAAAATATATCCATAATTCAACAGTTCAGGAAATGAGATCGAGATGACTTTTTTAGAAACTCTACTCTGAATAGCACTGCAACGTTCTGGGCAAAATTTCATAACTTTATCAAATAGCTTTGAAAAGAGCCTAACACCCCTTTAGTAGAATCAACCTACCTAAATTTTTGTCTTTTTACATTTCAAATAAGATTATGTATAATACTTCATATGTAGATTTTTGGGAGAAGGACTTGTATTTACATTAGACTGAATTTTTTTTAAAGAGTTTTTTAAGACTCAGCTCTTTTATTTTTATTTACAGTTAAGTAAGCTCTACACCCAACGTGGGGCTTGAACTCACAACCCTGAGATCAAGAGTCGCATGCTCTACCAGCTGAGCGGGCCGAGTGCCCCGGAATGAATTGTTAATGAGAAATTCTGAATTCCTAGTAGCCGAAAGGCAACAAGAAGTTTTTGCCATTTCAGTTTTACTCAAGTGAGATCCAACTTTTCTCCCTTATTCTAATATTTGTACAAATCTAAGCAGTAGGTTGGAAAATGGAAATATACAGTAATACAGCACATGTCCTAGCCCCTCCCGTTGTTTCATGGGTTTCCTATTTCAGGCCCAAGGAACATTCCCCAATCCTGTATCTCTGGCATTTCTGAACATTTCATTCAGAGTTTAAAATGATGGTATAGAGAGCTTTGGCTTTTTTTCAGAAAGAACTATGGGTTCTCATACCTTAAGCGTCTTAATTTTTAGGATAACTAATTAAGAACCATGGTATTGTTTAACATGAGAATTTGAATTCACATAAGCATGAGAGTGGGCGGGAGCCTGGCGGTATCTAGATGGCTTTCTGATACAGGGAATTAGGGATATGGCAAATTAGGGTTTATTTCTTAGGACATGCTCTCCCCTCACCCCCCAAAGTGAATTCTGATTCCAAAGATGATGGTTGTGTCAGACTTCTGCAGATAGGCTCAAGGTAAGAATAAGGTACAGAAGGCTTTCTCATGTTATGTTCTTATTAGAACTGTATTTGGCCTTATCTATAACTTCATGTATGTGTTAAATCAGCCTGAGTCTCCAGTGTGGAGATAATCGCCTAGATGTAATTGAACAATTTAAGAAAATACAATTCTTTTTACTGGGTACTGGTTCTAGCCATCTATAAAGGAAACGGTATGGGGCACCTGGATGGTGCTGTTGGTTAAGTATCTGACTCTCGGTTTCGGCTCAGGTTGTGATCTCAGGGTCATGAGGTCCAGCCCCCTGCAGGGCTCCAAGCTCAGTGGGGAGTCTGCTTGGCACTCTCTCCCCCCACTTCTGCCCCTCCGCCACCCCACACATGCACGTGCCCGTTCTCTCTCAAATAAATCTTTTTTTAAAAAAAATGGGTGTCTACTTGATTTATCTATAGGTGAGAAGTAATCATTCTGTGTGTGTGTGTTGGTGGGGGGAGAGGGAGAGGTACAGATTTTCTGCTTAAGTAATGCTTTATTGAAAACATCACCATACATGTTTATAACCCCCAGTTCTTTGGTTCCTTGAGTCTTCCTAGCATCTTACCCATATATCTCTTATGTCACTAAAGACTCCTATTTTTGTTTTATTGTGCACATGTCTCCATTTTCCAACATGACTCCTTGAAGACTGGTCCTTGGCTGATTTATCACTTTCTATGCATTCTCAAAAAGTAAATAAATGAAAAATTTGGATAATATCCCTATCTTGAACTATCTAGGTCCTATCTCCCTTCCTTTAGTGTAGATAACAGTTACTTCTAATGTGCTCAATTCACCCAAAGTGCCTACTTACTCCCTATGAATTTGCACATGAGGAGAATCGAGTAGAATGCATTCCTTTTCATAGTCTTTGAAAATACAGAATGGGAATCAAGATCATAGAAATTAATAAAAGTATGGACAAATTCATCTGAACCTTATAAATGTAAGTGAACAAAATTGCAGTTCAAGAATATTCACTGGGAGGAGGGTTCTTTTTGCAGGATTCTGTCTTTTTGCCACAATACCCTCCCTGGGGAACTCAGTTTGTTTCAGAATCAGGTTACTCTAACTGTTCTAGTTAGGCATTTTAGATATGACTGTTCTCTTTTAAATGGCCCCTCTCAATAGCCCACTATCTAAATCTACAATTTAGGGCATCTCAGTTGTTTTAAAGAAACATCACAACTTTCTTCTAATACTTTATTATTATTCAATCCTGTGATCTACAGGGAATTTTTGAGATTTTGCATAATCTCTGGCTTCAGAAGGGTACAGTTATAGAGTTTGAACCTATAATGCTTCAGGTAGGAGAAATATGTGAAGTTACCTGTAATTATAAAGCTATGGGATGGAGGAAGAATGAGTTGGGGCGGGGGGGGAGGGTGAATCAAAATGGATGTTTTAGGAGAAAGAAAAATATGGAAGGGTGCTTATTAACACCATTTTCAGATTTACATTTATATTTAACTCCTTAATTTAGAAACTTGAATGTATAAAATTTCATATGCTTATTAAATTATAACTGATAGCCAAATTAAGCATGTCTTTTTATACTAATCAACTGAAGTTACTTTACAGTGTTTGAAAATCTTATTACTTCTGTATCTGTAAGCCATTTGAAAGCTAGTCACTATTCTGGAATTTGTGTTCTTTATGGCATCAAGCAGATAGAAACTCATTCTCTAGAAGAAAGCAAATATCCAATTCATATGAACCTTTATCTTAGTTATATTTTTTGAGTTGTCACTATCTGAGGTATAAGTATATGCTTTTTCTAATTCTTTAAAAAATAGCTTTAGTAATTTTCTAAAACAAAATTTCAGAATTGGGACAACTTCTGTTACATGCTGGTTTGACTCTTGATTAGATGTAGGACATTTCCAAATAGGATTGCAATGTTTTTTTCATATGTGGTGGATGAGGTGGGAACCTGAAGTTCATGTGAAGCAAAGAAGAGCTAGGATATGCATCATGAGGAGGCTGTGAAGCCATCCTCAGAAGGACATGCCTGGTGCTTCTGCTGACCCCTCCTGAAGATGGATTCTATTTGGCCACAGCTGAAACAAGGCTTAGGTCTGAGGCTTACTTCGTAAGTGTGTGTTCTTACTTCAGGATCTTAGATTGAGGGGCTCATACTAGTATGAGTTGTGGGACAACAAGTAGTTTCTTTTCCTCTATGAAATCTTTACTGAACTTCTATGATTGGATGGAGGTGTGCTCTTGTTCCTGGAGTCTTGTTCTCGCGTACGAAGGTTTTACTCTATCTCTTGTCACTTACACAGAAGAATTGGAATTGTATGAGAGTTTTATGGACAGTTTCACATCAATCTCTTATTTCATAATTTTCACATGCCAAGCGTTTTTATATATCACTTTAAAGTTGGAGAAACCAAGATTTTCTACATTAAGAAAAAATAAGCTCTCTTTAGTGGGGTTATGGTGCTGGGAAACAGAAGTGGTTCTTGGAAAACTTACATAGAAAGATGATCCGCCAATCTATATCTCAGCTCCTTACTTCTCCTTGACAGTTCCATCTTGTTTTCCCTACAACAGCCCTGTGAAGTAGGTACTGTTTTGCTCCTTTTACACATGAAGAGTTTGAGACTCAGAGGTTACCTAGAGTTACATAGCATCTCAGTGTAGACCTCTGCAAGGTCCTTTGACTCAAAATAATGAGTTTTCTTTACTCTCAGACTACCATCTAGAATGACAAACTAACACTCCAACTGACCACCCACTTAGATATTCCACTCTCACTTTACATTCATACTGTCTAACTAAATGGATGTTTATCACCAAATCTTCCCCTTGCCTGTTCTTTCTGACCTCACTTTCAGTCAGGGTCACTAAGTAATCAGTTTCCAGTGACCAGTGTTTCTTCTGTTTTCCTTTAGTCCTTCAGCCCACAAATCTTGACATTTCTTTCTTTGTCAATGTCTCTCGAATTTTTTTTAAGTTTTTAAATTTTACTTAATTTTCCCGTCCTTGTCAACATGACCTCTACCCTCCTCTCTCCTCCCTCCAATATGACCTCCAACTCTACTGTGATATTTGCCCCTGTCACCATCACTATCACCTCTGCCATCCCTTCTGCCTTCCTTCTGTTTGAGATCAAGCTCTAAACACTTCCGTCATCTTTTTCCTGCAGCAGTCTGATGAAAGATCTGATGAATCATAGTCTCTCCAAAGTCCAGTGTAGACTGTATACTAAAGCCAGGCTAATCTTTGAAAGTCTAAACCCATTTTCCTGACTTTGAAGAAGCTCTGTACTTTGTCTCTGCCCTATCTAAATAGGCTTCTTCTACTTTACTATCTGTTCAACCTTCAGAATATATTTTGAATCTGACCTCACCTCCCTACTTAAAGGCCTTTACTCTAGTACAGGTAGGGAGACCAACCCTGCTGATCTGCAAAAGACCATTGGTTTCAGCCCTAAATGTCCTGTATGCCCTGAGAAACCTCAGTCCCGGGCAAACTGTAATGATTCATAACCTTAAGCCCAAGTTCTCATTGTTGACCTAGACCTCTGCAGTGACCTCCTAATAGCCTCTCTGCTTTCACTCTTGCTCTTTTTTAGACTCTTTCTCACTACTTAAAGTCCTACTTAAAGCCCTTCCATGTCTTCCCATTTGACTTAGAATGATCTGTATTCTTTAAACAAAAAAACCTATGTGGTCTGACCCCTTACCTACTACTGTGCTCCTGATCTTTCTCTTTTCAAGACATGCCAGGCACATTTCTACCCCAGGGCCTTTGCCTTGGCTGTTCCTTTTGTCTGCAAT